AACGGATCTGGGCGGTTACGGGACGAGAGGAGAACGAGGGGCGCGACCAGACCAGACGCGAAGGGGGCGCGGTCAAGATGGGGATCGGCAGAGACGAAACCGAGAGACGGCTCGCACGCATCGGAGGGAGCAGGATGCGTCGACTCGTACTCCGAAAACACTGACGACCATGTGCATAGGATAGACGTTAGATTAACAGTCGCTAATGCGAACCTGCGCGACTCTGGCTCCTATAATTTCCACTCGTCGCGCCTCGCGGAGTCTTGGAAAAATGACTAAATGAGGAGAGTTTCGGGGAAATTAGATGGGAAGTACCTCCTGCGTTCTACTCGTCGGATACCGAAAAAAAAAAAAAAAAAAAAAATATGAAAGTCACGGAAGGCACTTTGTTACGTTCGATAATGAAAAACTATGTAGCTTCTCGATAGATCTAATAAATCTGGTTTCGTAAATTTGTGTCTAGCTCTCGCCCTCGAAGTTACAGCGTGTGGCTGACTTTAACGATCTGTTTTCCCTACCGTTTTGCGGAATTCGTTAAACTCCGTTCCTCGAAGGGTGCGCTGACAAGACTGCTCGCGGAGGAACGTTTATTTTTGTAGGAAATGCGTACTTTTGTGCGACGTCTCTCCGAAAAGTGATTCGTGGAATTGATTTGAATAAAACGACAGAGTTATACACGAGGATGGAGGGGAAAGTGCGCATCGCGTTTCTAACGCGTACTGCGTTTGACGCGACACGTATAGGGTTCGATGTAGTTGAATCAAATAGACCAGGCGCAATCGTAGCTTCTTCGTACACAACCGGGTCGATAGTAAATACGTTTCCTAGTTATAGATCGGCCGCCCGCTCGTCAGAGGGTTAAACTTCATCCACTGATAGATATTTATACGACGTGGAAGGAAGGAGGGCATTATTGTGCCTCGTTGAAACCCCCGTCGAACTCGTTATATAATGTGACGTCGACATCAGGTAATTAGGAAGCGTCGCAAGCAGAAACGTTGGCTAGTGACTTTGAAAAGGTTTCACCGGCTCGTTTGTCGGTTTTCTAGCCGTCTTTTTCGCTCCTCTTCCACGGTCGGGTAGAGAAAAAAATTCGTCGGAACGTTATTTTTAAATTTCACATTACGTCCACGAAACTATTCCTCGCGGAGCATTCCACTTTCGTACGATCCCTCGTTCCCCAGCAACGGATTTTCACAACGTTCGTTTCGGCCTTGTAGCATGTTAAATCGACATCGGGTACAATGGTTCACGCATCGAATCCTGATTCGAATGTCGTTCCAAATCGAAACACGGACGCCACGTAGAAATTTTCAGCTTCGTGTGTGTAGTCACTTCGTTCCTGGTAAAATTTGTTGGCAGAGACGACCCGGTTGTCGAGAGCAGAGTTCGTTCCTGGCACCACTTACCCTTCGCCTTCCATCTCGGCCGAGCATTTCCGCCCCGGTGTTTTTGCTCGTTCAAAGGGAACGATCCTCTTAGCGGCAAAGTAGAGGGAAGGCTAAACGGATACAGGGCCTAAATAGAGTTACTTGGACTGTGGTCCGACGTATCGTCGACGGCGGGAGCTTTTCGCGTTACTCTTTCTTCTGCTTCTCTGCAAATTCCTATAAATCAACAAATCTTGCAACAAAATTCCAACCATATGTTTTAGTTAGTTAAAGTTGAACGATACGATCGAATATTTATATAGATAATTTTCTCAAATAGAATATTGAAACGTTAAACATCGACAGGTTAGAAATAGCATTCCTTTCCCTCCTTCCATTGAATTTCTCTAGCTTCTTCGTAATCTGCCATCAACCTGTATATACATACATAACTTCCTCTCGTCTCCTCCTATTCGTCGTATGTTTCGTTGTATGTTCCGTCGTATGTTCCACCGTTTATCGTGAACCGCTTACTATGCAAAGGGTACGCTCGTAGAATTCGATTGTCGTCGGTCGGTGTGTCGAAAGAAGAAGAAAAAAAGGGGGCCTCGCGAACGAGCAAGCGAACGAACGAAACTCCGTTGGTCGGGGGGGCATTGTAGCGTCGCAACGACGAGACACGGTCGAATGTCAAGCAGAGTAGCGGCTGATACGATCAAGAGTTACGCCTTTAACTTTTCACCTCGCGCATATCAGGGATCGACGCTTAAAAGTGCCTCGCCGTTGATGATTACGCGATTCATGAGAAACATATGCGAGTAAACTTTTGAACGATGTTTCGTGTGCCAAACGCATTTTTTTTTGTAACGTATTCTGTCCCTCGTGTGCCTCTGCTGTTCAATTATTCCAAAATGTTTACATACTTCTGCCGAACGCTTGTACAAACTTTTCTTTCCGTGTCAGTATTACATTTATATCATCGTACCCCAGGTGAATTCACCGTTTACATCGATCAAGTATTATCGTTATTACTATCTGAGAAAAAACCTAGGAACATTACGTAAGGGGAACGTGGAACGACTTTCCGGGCTGCGCGCATCTTCTAGGGGAGATAACGCGATAGAGGCGCTCCTCTTCTCTCCCAGTTGTTGAAAGTTGCCATCAGCTCGATCTCTCTAGATACGCGTGCACAACGTGCATCACCAGTTGCCCCCCTTTTTTTTTTTTTTTTTTTTTTTT